TGTAAGTATTATTAATAATGTTTGCTGCTATGTTTTCTGTAACATGCACAATATAGTTATATTGTGTTGTGTGTGTTGTGTACACTCCGCGCAGCTTCTATGCGGGGTAAAGTTAGTTTTGTTTTTTAAATTCACCAGACATTCATTGAAAAATGGCAATTACCTCCTAAACGACTTCACCAAATATGACTTCGCTCTATATAATAAGCACTGCCCCCCAAAAGCCGCTGCAATGTGAGGGAAAGCTTGACGGAGGAGTAATTAAGGGACCGTGTGGAAAGTGCACTTTTTCTGACACGTTTGTTCAAACACTATATACAATTTTCAACACTTGACAAGCTATAATCCTGGTTATGGGCATACCGTTTCTGACAACGGTTTACCAATAACAACTGACTGGGTCATTTGACCAATCGCCGCAGATTCTCGTCACTCAAAGGAGGTGTTTGGGAAAATGAATCGTTGAACGAATCATTTGGGAGTCGTTGAGCAAATCAGTTAAAAATAAATGCATATTATAAGACAAATAAAGTGTTTTTTTATCCTTGCATGCACGTTAAACTGTTTTTGGGAACTCCCAAAACAAAAATAGGAACATTTCAAATGCTATGATAGGGGCTCTTTAAAATGATGAGAACACAAGGTTCGGGCTGTGGTATCGTTGCAAATATGAACTCTGACCACTGATTTTTCACATGCTTGTCCCTGGGCAATGAAAACAAGTGGCTGATGAATCGAATGTGTTCTAGAGACTTCAAGTTTACACTTCCGCGCAGTTGTTGGGAGCAGCCAATGAGCTAATGTTTATATCTACGTCATGACGAAACAGCTAATGACTCGTTTCAAAAACAATTCATTTCATAGACTCAGAGTCGACTCTCACTTTTGAAAGACAATAACTTTATATACGGTGCACTTTCAGATATAAATCTTTGCAGGATGTTTTCATTCCCTTAGAGCTATATTCCACACTACATGAACAGTCATTTTTAAAAATCCACGATAGGTGTTCTTTAATAATTATGAATGGAAAATACCATATACACAAAAAAACAAATAGACCAATAGACTTAAAGGTTCAGTGTGTATTTTTAGCAACATCTCGTGGTTCGGTTGTGAGTTGCACTAATGGCTCAGCCCACTGCTCACCCCTCCCTTTCGAAAGAAGCTTCGGTGGCTAAAATGGGACAAACATATCATCGTCTGAGACAGCAATAGCCAGAGTAAGCCAAGAGGGAGGAACTGTTTCTGTACCACAGTCTATTACAAATCACATCATCAGAACCACATGAAACTATGCAACTATTTATTTTTTTTCGAACAGGATAGTCAAACTTTAGCTGGCTAAATATGAGCTGTTACTGTGGCTGAGCTGGTTAAAGTGTAAAGCCTTGTTTAAACTCGACGCGTCCGCATGAGCCCAAAGGTGTTCGCGGCAAAAATGACATGATTGTAATCGTGTGTGCATCCGCATCCCCTACACACTACAGTATTTACTACACAGAATAGGCTTTTTCCCTCTGATTTTGAAAACTCTTCACGATCGACTTAAAGGGACAATGTGTACTTTTTTATGCAGGCTATTTTATTATTTAAAATCAATATTTTTATTCATAAATATTTCCTCAATGGTGTACAAATTCATCTGCCAATTATTTGACTTGTCCTCGTAAACAAAGAATTTATTATATTTAAATACATGGGACAGGTAGGTCCACGGAGGCTTCTATGTTCCGCCAGCTTAAAAAACTATAATAGCAGAGAGGGACAATATTATTTCAGCAACATGACAAGCCAGTGAATTTGCAGGTTTCATTTGTTGCTTTGTACATTGCTGACATTTTATCTACATGTAACGCTGCTAGAGTTTTGACACCAAGTCAATGGGCTCTGTCTAATTCTTTCTTTTTTGCCTGTTAATCATCATCATTTTTTTTCCTTTTACCCTTCTTTGTTTTATGAGCAGGTGCCACTCGAGAAATTGGCAGTTTAGGTTGTTTCTCCACCATTAGCACAGCTGCAGCACACCGGCAATCTTCACTTTGGTTTGAATGACGGTGCACTGTGAAAGAGAGGGGTGTGATCAGCGCATACACAAGCGTGATTAACACTGCTAAGACACTCCTCCTGGCTCTGATTGGTAATAGGACCACTCGGAGGAGCCAGGGAAGCTTAATTTTCAAAGATTATCTGTCTCATAGTCTACTGTCAGGACATAATGACAGTTTTAACAAATATGTAAAAAAAATATTTGTTTACAAAAGTTACCTACTGCAGCTTTAAATATTTTTAAATATGAATCTGATACTGCATACTTTCAAATTTCGGCTGTTGTTCAGATGAAGTCAGTTCAGTGAGGAATCTGCGGATCCAGTTCCGTTTTAAAATCATCAATAATTATCAAATTTTTATTTCATCTATAAAACAGTTCTGCAAAAAAAAGTCTCAGTCCAGCTCAGTTCAGTTCTCATACAACTGCTTCAGTCAGTTCAGTCAGAGTAAGATCAATGGCTCAGTGGTTCATGTTTGTCTACAAACCGAAAGGTTGGTGGTTCAATCTCCGGTTCCACCTGACCAAGTGTCGAGGTGTCCGTGAGCAAGACACCTAACCCCAGCTGCTCCCGACGAGCTGGATGGTACCTTGCATGGCTGACACTGCCGTATGAATGTGAGGCATATGTAAAGTGCTTTGGTGGCCATTAGGTCTATGAAAGCGCTATAGACCATTTCACAAGATGTAAACAACACTGGTACAGAAACACTTCCTGTTTCAGTTTGTAACTGTTTCTTCTAACTATCTTAAAGAAGTTTGTTTAACTTTTTGATTCAGTTTTAAATGTTCTGTTGGTTGTATATTATCCCAGCTTTTATGTAGTGTTAAAAAACTGAAACAGGAAGTGCTTCTGGACCAGTGTTGTTTACATCTTGTGAAATGGTCTATATAAATGCAGACCATTTTCCATTTTGATGACATTTCAATCTCCCACTGAGTTAAGAGAATGAGCTAAAAATGTATGAATAGCTTGATTTTCCCTTGGGTTCCACAGATTCATTAAAAAGGACAGCGAAAGAAAAGGTCACTCTGCTGGTCTCAAACATTACTCTTGTTAGGTCCATTTAAATTCACCCTTTTCAAGTGAAAGTTTTTAATTGCTGCACTGTTAAAATACATCCAATTTCCAACAGTAAAATACTGTTTTCAATAAACTGTTTTCAATAAACAGTAAAAAAATTTCAATAAACAGTTTAATCCTGTAAATTTACAGTCTATGTTCCATAAATTAATTGCTTGCTGTAAATTTACAGCATTTATGTCATATTATGCTGTAATGTCAGCATGCATATTGCATATGCACATTATGTCAGCATTTACGCACCATAACATGTGCTGCATCCCAATTTGCTTACTTATACTACGCCCTAAAAGTATGTACTCTTTTTGTGTAGAAAAAGTACATACTTTTGAGTGTGTAGCAAAATAGTAGGCAAGCTTTGGGACATACTATCACGTCATCTTTAACGGACAGCTCTGTCGCGTGCTGCGTGCATCCTGTCACCGTAAACTGCCCTGGCAATCATCTTGTCACAGTTAAAATCATCCATTCTATCTAACTTGATTTTTTTAGGACAGATAGTATGCGAATTGGGACGTGACGCAGCAATATTGTTGCTCACTGCTATGACTACACACACACATAGGTCAAGGTCCAAATAAAAAAGATGCTTGCTTACATTATAGCGGCATTTTCTGGGCTTTCCTCGTGTGATTAAATCCTTAAAGAAGCAAGATTGTGGCCAAAACTAGTACTGCAATCACTTTCAAATTACTGTAGAGTGGTGTATCTCCTCAACCTTTCTAGTGACATATCAGGGAAAATTTGATTAATTTAAATAAGTTTCTTGCATACAGCTCCTTTAAGAACCAGATGGGAAGGCAAGCCAGGCGCACATTGGCATTCTCAATTGACAGCATGGCAAGTCCAAAAGAGATCATTGTTCGTTTCAAACATGTATTTAATGATCAGTAATATATGTTGTTGTCATTATTTATTCAAATAAATTTGTAATAAAGTAAAATGTGATCAGACTAAAAGTAGTAAAATGTGATGGGTGCCCGGACTGTCAATCAATATCTTCCAGTCATGCGGGCCCCTAATTGGTCCGGGCCCGTAAGCAACCGCTTACCCTGCTTACCGATAGTTACGCCTGTGTTTTGGACAATCTAAACTGTCCCTTTGTTATTCTGGTTTATGGTCTCCACAATAGAGTGACCTTGATGCACACTGATGTGCATGAATATCTCACTTACGAGAGAGGCTAGTTTAATCTGAACATAAATGGTGATGTGGTGATCAACATGAAAGTCTTATCAAATAAGTCTCCCCAATTATTCCAAACAGTTACTGGATAAATTAAATAGTAGGTCTAATTAGTTATGGCATCGACTAGATGCAAGGACCTTTACATTCCATCTATTACATTTCTATTGTATTGCTATAGTGATTACCAAACAGCACCAACAGCATGATTTGTTATTGGACTAAGAAGAAGAAATTCAAGAAAAGTTTGGGAATCTCTGACAGTTTTTGTGTTAGAGACACGAAGACTTTTTTCCCCATTTAATTAAGCAGAGTGTTTAATTAAATAACTATTTTAACTGTGTGGAACAGAGCGTGATCTAAACTGCCGGTCACTGTAACGTAATGTTTGTTTGACAGCTAGGCTACTACAAGACAGGTAAAAAAAAGTTCGAGATCAGGCTATCATTGTGCTTTTAATCTGTTATTTAGGCCTACACTAGGCTATAACTTATCGATATTTTCGAATTTCAGAAGTCGGTCATTGCCACCAGCTTATAAAGTCCTTAATCGACTGAATATGTGATTCTTATCTTAAGTAGCACTCACCGTTCCGTATATTGATGCAACACCCCTACGCCACACATTGGTTCAACCCAAATGCGATGTTGAAGAAGCCTTGCTGCTGAAGCTGAAGTATAATGTGTTGTGTTTAGATGAAGACGGTTTTAGGTGGGCAGAACAGTTGCGTCTTACAGTAAAAAGCGAATCAATCCTGCACTTTAGTGGCATCTTCGTATTGCTATTGTGATTAAGGGTGAGTATTAAGAGCTTTATCAGACGTTTGCTGTGTGCAAAGTGTAAATATTTTAAGTGTGCTGAATTGGTGACATTTTCGAGACACAAGCGGACTGAATTGCTTTTCATATCCATTTTAAAATAAGTGGCAAGAGGTGGTCGTCGCAAAAAAGAAAAAAAAAAAGAAAAAGAAGAAAAAAAAGAAACAAAAACAAATCTTATTTATGGTTGTCCTGTCCTAGGCGATGTAGAAGAGCGCTGAAAAAAAATCGGGTGCCCTTGAAGTGAAGCGTAGCCTATACGTTTTTAATGCAGCACCTTTAAAGCAGCACCTTTGGCATTTAAACGTATAATGTTTAAAGGCAGATATCGGAGGAAAAAGAATGAGATATTCTGTCCCCAATGAATGCAGGAAAAGGAGCCCGTGTCGTGAAGTGACCATACGTTATTTAACGTTGTTTCATGATCACTCCCGCATTACTCAGAAATGTGTTAATTTGAACTTGACAGGTATTGTTGAAGTGAGATGCTTTCAGCACTTTGTACCGAACAGGATCAGCTTTCAGGCGATATTGCTGGACTGGTAGCCTACGAGTCGCGCGCATTTTTTATAGAAATCAGCGACTTGTTTCATCACCCCGTGAGAGATCCTCATTTGGTGACAAGTGCTCAAATCAGAGAGTTTGCACTCATGCGGGGTTATATCTGCTTTGCGTTCGTGCGCAGTATATAATTTCTCTGCTACACAAATACATAAAATATTGAGAGGTGAGATGAGTTTGAAAGATTATTTTAATAGAACAAATATATTTGGGATTTTACTGTGTGTTAATTGTGCACTTATAGTATTATTAAGGTTGCCTTTTTGACCCCCCAAAAAGCACTGTCCTACTACACTCTTAGAAGAAAAGGTTCTATATAGAACCTTTATAGGTTCTAAAGCGCTATACGTATTTGGAACCCCTAAAATGCAATACATGTGAATGATCACAAAATTCAAGATATGGGGGTTAAAAAATGTAATTAATCAATATCACACTATGGGTGCCATTTCAGTTTTTATCCTCCAAAAATCTGCATGATTAAAATTAATTATTAATTAATTGATATAAAGTTACTACACAGTTTAATAAACAATAATTCAATTACAATATATATAATAATGTAATATATGAATGAATAATAGCCTATAAATAACCTTTGTGCCAAAGGGGTTCTTTCTTGTCATTATCATCATTTTTTTTGTTGCATAAAAGGTCCTTTGCAGTTGAGTAAAGAACCCTATGCAACATATATAGAACCCTTTTTTCTAAGACAGAATATAATAGGCTAATAGTTAGGCTAATAGTATATAAGTAATATTCAATGGCTGTCATAATTGAAAGCTTTATCTAGAAAGCATGATTCATTTGCATAATTTTATAGTAAAAAAAATCGCTTGACGGTTTTTCACTGTTTTATTGTATTTCTGTTAGGTGGGTATCGCAGCACTGTGTATTTGTACAGCTTCCCACATTACACGATTTCCATTGATTTATCATGGTCTCATGTGATAGGCTACATACTTAAAAAAAATAAAATAAAAATAAAACAGAGGTTGCAATAGTCTTTTCTTCCGTTTTGTGATGTATATCCATTGGAACAGCTTATCGAAGAAAAAAAAATGTAGGAAGGGACTTTTTATCCATTGGGAGTTGATTGGATGTTGTGGTTGTTATTGCTATGATCTCATGTGAGTGACAGGTTGTCCCGCCCCCGCGCCATCATCACAGATGAGAAGATATGTTGTTGCAAGAGGGATGGGAAGATATTTTGATTAAAGATTATCAGGAAAAGTTAGTTTAAAAAAAACTAAAAACTAAAACGAGATGGTCCTCACTGCAGAACATGAAATCCAGGGGGAGGAGTTGGATCCAGATCCAACTCCTCCCACCTTATATATACCTAATCCTACCCATCTCCGCCCCCTATTCCCTAACCCCACCCCCTAATCCTACCCATCTCCGCCCCTGATACCTAACCCCACCCCTAATCCTACGTATCTCCGCCCCTGATCCCTAACCCCACCCCTAATTCTACCCATCTCCTCCCTTTATATCTGGATCCAACTCCGCCCCCTGCATCTTGTGTACTGCAATGAGGTGCTACTGATTGAAACTCTCATTTTAACAGGGTCTGATTGAGAGTGTCTGTTAATGTAATAAATGTGAATTTAATGTTATCATAGACAGTTGCTGGTCAAGCTTTAATGAAGGAAATTGACGATTCAGTGCACTTTTATTGTAAATGAGTGAGTGATAATATCCAATGTAACATGAAGTAAACATTCACAAGATAAATTGCATTGTTAAAATTTTTGTCAAAATGTGATTCATGTGGTAACACCTAAATGTACTGGTTTAAGTAAAGTCAGACATATTATTTAATATGACTTTTGCAAAGTAGCGTACTCTACACTGATTGCAGAGACAACCCCCTGCAGCAGACTGTGGTTAGTGCTGTGCTCGAGAGCACAATATTGTCAGCGCAGGATTGTGATCTTGGTGACTATTCAGTTCTTGCGTTATATTAATTGGAAATGAAGCTGGTGGACTCTTAACCATTTATCTGCAGCCATTTTGGTAACCGACTCCTTGTCTTTCTCATCAGGTCGAGAAGCTAGATGTTAAAAAAAAGGTTCAAAACATTCAAGAATAAAATTTAAGCAGGCTAATTGCTTGCGTTTATCATCCTGAGAACATTGTTAAATATTGATCTAGAGTAGTGAGCAATCTATTTAAGAGTCCATATAATAGAGCACAGCATATGTGTAAAACAGTATATTTGTACACATTCTGTACTCTTTCTCTTCCTTGCATCTTTTTCTGTTATTTAAAGGAATGGTTCACTCTAAAATCAACTTTTGTGTTCCACAGAAGACACAAAGTCATTCAGTTTCTGAACAACATGATGGTAAGTAAATGATGACAGAATTTTCATTTTTGAGTGAACTATCCCTAAAAATCTCTTATTATCTATTTATGTCAGAACAAACTCAAACACAACAGAATGCGTTTTATCCTCAGAATAGTGTAGTTAAAAAAGAAGAAGGCAGAAACCAACTCATATTTCACTCTCGTGGGAATGGCATTAAATGACAGGTTTCTTTATCTCTAAGGATTTGTCCAGTGCCCTGGCTGATTTGCTGATGTGAAACTGTCAGGGATGATTAGTTAAACACTGCCAAGATGTGCTGAGGGCTTTTCTTGCCACTGATTATGTGTTTAGGTGCACGTGTGTCCAATTTCATGGCTCTAGGCACAAGCTAATAAAAGAGATGGAGATGAACGATAGTAGGGACAGATTTAAAGATTACATGAAGAGATGTTAAGAGAGAGAAGGAAGATAAAAGTAGAGGAAATGATGGGTAAAAATGGGGAATATTATCAAAAATTAGGGTAGACTATTTTTGGCCAGTCACTAAGACAGAGTTTTTGATGTATATCTTAGATCTTTTCCATAAATCTATTTTTTTTCTTTGGAGTGACTTTGTCATACCAACAGAGCAAACAGAGCTCAGCAGCAGCACCGAGAGAACTGTAATCAGTGTTTCTCTGTGATTGTGTGTGGTAATGAGCCTGTTGAGTATGGACATTGTGTTTCCTCTCTGTTTCTCCTGACAGGACAGACTCCAGACTTACTGATGATAAGCATGCTGGGTAATGAGGTGCACTATAAGCAATCAGAGGTGTGTTAATCAAGACGCAATGTCTGTTGACACCTCAGTGCCCTTCTGTCAGCAATCCCATTTATTTTCTATTTTTATCCTTGTTTGAAATGAATTAAACACAAAAAAAATCACATATGTATTTTGCACATGCATTTTGTCTGAAAAGAGACACAAAGCAATCAGAGGAGAAAACTCAGGCCTCTCATTGTTGTTATTAAACAGATATTTGATGTTTTGATTATTTTACCTATGAGCTCTCTTGACAAGCATGCTGGCCTTTGTACCCTTAATAGGGTTTTGAAGCCCAACGAACAAAGGTTACATTTTGACACACTTAATGAAAATCAAAACCTTTTAGTTCTATAATAATGTCTGGCCTTTTGACAGCCTCTAGCACAGCTACTTTTCTGTGCTTCTGGGATAAAGATGCTTCTTCCTGGAGGATGGATCTTTAGCAACTGACATTATTGCAGGAAGGTCAATATGAAGACAGGTAGTCAATTGTAGTCTCCTGTGTAATTTCAGTTGCTACAAATAACTGAATCTTTTTCACAAGCACACAAGAACAAATTACTTAGAGGCGTGTAGAGTATCCAAACACTGTACTCAAGTAGTAGTGGTATTGTGTACTTAGTGTAATAATCTTGTAAAATGTATTGCCTGAATGAAATGAAATTGAATGTAGCGATAGTGGAATCGTTCACAGACAGCACACGCAGATGTTCAACTACTAAAGATCTTCATCGCTGACAAACAATATGATGTGCAGATTTGCTTTCAATTGGTCCACTGCCACTTCATCTAACACTCTTGATGTTCTTAAGTTTCTTTATTCAATTCAGAGTAAGAAACCGCTTCAGATGATTCATTCAGTGCATGCAAAACTGAACAAAAACATTCGAACTGAATCGTGAACCAATATAGACAGTTTTGCCAACTTGTTTGACAAAGCATTTCTTAACATTTTACTGCATTTAAAATAAAGTAACGCCCAAAGTAACAAACTAAAAGTACTTTTTTTCATTAGAAATGTACTTGTGTACATGTACTAAATGTACTAATGTAAGAGTACAATCTACTCTTGAAAGTACAATTAAAAAAAAAAAAAACTCAAGTGTAATGTTAATGTACTTTGTTACTACACACATCTGCAAATTACATCTAACCAAATGGAGGATCTGAAACATCAAGGCTTATCGAAAGGTTTCCATAGAGGACTTGAGCCACTAAAATAAGTCATTCAAACGTATGTTAGCAAAGAGGCAGTAAATCCACAGTGGAATGGAATAATTATCCAGGGAAATCATCAGCCCAACAGTTTTATAGCATTTTTTGTTCTTGTTGTTTTAACAAATTAATACAGCACAATATGAAAAAAAAGATATGCACAATAAAAAAGATATGACTTACCTCAACCCCATCCCTAAACTTAACCATCACTGGGGTTAATGGCATTTATGACTGGAGATTTGACTGCGTGTACAGACACGCGGAATGACGCGGACGTTAATGGCGTAGACATATACGCATACACGCGGATACACGTGGATAGCTCAAAATGCGTAGAGATGACACGCCACCTGACTCGAAAGTGGCGTATATGTTTACGCAAAAGTCATGATGTCATATTGCACAACGCATGAAATCTGTCAGGACCAATATCGTCAAAAATGATTGACAATTAGCAGCATAGAGTTTGAATTGGCGGTATGGTTCTGTTCTGGGCAAGAAAGCAGCGATGTTAGTTCTGTTCCGTTTCCCTTAGGCTAAACGGAACAGAACTAACATATATTGCAGATATCGACGTTCGTAGATCGACTGGTGGAGACTATTTTTCAAAGATGGCTTCTTCCTGTATTCGCGAAGTTGACTGTATGTATAAAATATCTTCTTATTAAATTGTATGGACATTGACAAAGTTCTCAATGCTTCGGTTTGAATGTAGAGACCCTTAATATGCTACCGTGTTACTCTGGGGCTATTTTGGGCCTTTTTAGTGGTAATAACAAGCGATATTTCTTTGTCATTACTCTATGCCCCATATACTAGCGTTATACTAGCATTATAGGGATATTTTTTAGAGATAAAACTATTTACATTCGGCAATCATGAAAACAAATCTCAGATAACGGTTGACTAGGTAACAATGTGTAATTAGACCAAAGGTTCATTTTGCGCCGGAGTTCTCCTTTAATGCTATGCTTAATAGATGGGACATTCATGGGATTGGGAAGTGCGGCAAAGCTTATAGTTTGCAAAAAAAGAAACCCATTCAAACCCAAAAGAAACCCTTGAGCAATTTTCTATTTCAGGTGGTAGCTGAATTAGACGATTTTGTGGGATGAACTATAAAATTCATTTATGCTTTTTTTTCTTGTCTTTTAGGATGGAGGATGGCTTCTCCCATCTTCAGATGTGTGTCCTGTGAACCTTTAAATGACTGAAGGCTATAAACTCACGATTATCAATAAGTGCAATCATAATGTCTTCTATGATCAGTATGGCAGCACTTCAAAACGCCTACCTTTTCAGTGACCATCATACAAAACTGTGAGCTAAAGGACAATAAGCTCACAAATTGTAGTGCCAAGAAAATAACACCCACTCAGAAAGCAAACTCTTGCAAATGTTTTCAAATGAATTAACTTGAAAACATCCAAAAAGAAAATCATGCCTGACCTAAAAAACAGTAAAACAAGAAAAGAAAAATCCATTCACTCTTACAGTGACTTAATTTATTTTTACCTTCCCTTCTAATTAGAGCCAGACCCTATCCTAACCCTATCCATTTGCATACAGTCACATGCTGCCATGACTCAACCCAATGTTACTGTACTCTTGGCCAATATCTCTGGAGGATCTGAATTGGGTAATCTGTACCGTCCATTTTCTGTGTTCAGTGTTCTTACACTCACTTTGCTGGCCATGCTTGTGGTGGCCACCTTTGTATGGAACCTTCTGGTTTTGGTGACCATCCTGAGGGTGCGCACATTCCATCGTGTTCCCCACAATCTGGTTGCCTCCATGGCCATCTCGGATGTGATGGTTGCAGGACTGGTTATGCCCCTAAGTCTGGTTAGGGAGCTTTGTGGACAGCGGTGGATTCTGGGTCGGGCCCTGTGTCAGGTCTGGATCTCCTGCGATGTACTCTGTTGCACAGCCAGTATCTGGAATGTGACGGCCATTGCCCTAGATCGTTACTGGTCCATAACACGCCACCTGGAGTACACATTAAAAACACGCAAACGAATCTCCAATGTGATGATTTGCCTCACATGGCTACTCTCCTCTGTTATCTCGCTTTCTCCGCTTTTTGGTTGGGGTGAGACCTACTCAGAAGTCAGCTTGGCTTGTCAAGTAAGCCAGGAGCCCTCATACACAGTCTTCTCCACTTTTGGAGCTTTTTACCTGCCCCTCTGTGTGGTCCTCTTTGTCTACTGGAAGATCTACAAGGCTGCCAAGTTCCGCATTGGCTCTCGTAAGACCAACACCATCACACCCATGGCTGAAGTCATAGAGGTAAAAAAATAAAATAAAAAATTATATAAGATTATGTATACACAGTGGAAAGAATACTTTTGTGATCTCTTTGAAAATACCTGGATTTCTGCATTAATTACTCATAAAATGTCTTTCATAAGATTATAGATATATTATATATAATTATAGATAAACACAGTCTGACTAAACTAATAACACAAATAACTGTAATTGTTCAAATTTTTATTAAATACATTGCACAATAAATATGTGAAACTCTACGTGAAACTTTTGTAACTCTTTGGCCTTGTCCACATAGACACAGGTATTTTTATAACCGGAGTTTTTCCTCCTGTGTTTTAAAAAAATCCTGTCTACACATGCTCGGTTTTAAAAAAATCTCCATCTTTATTAAAATGCAAAAACACATTATCAAGCACTGTCAAGAGCATGTCACACCAGCAGGCGGCGATAACAAAAAGAAGCCAATAACCAAAAAGTTATTACCAGTTATTACTGGTATTACCGGTTATTACCGTTTTCGGTAGGCGGATAACTGCGCACAATCTGACGTTAGACACAGAGGATAATGGCACACACTCTGACGTCGCAAGGTCTACGTGAAAACACTGTAACCGGCGTTTCTGAAAATCCTCACCCTGGCAGGAGTTTTCAAAAATGTTCAGTTAAAGTGACCCGATACTGTGTTTTCGTGTGGGCAATGTATATATATATATAAAAAAAACACGTCCATGTGGACAAGGTCTTATATCCTCCATTAGCAACTCCCCACAAATCTGTTTCAGTTGTTAAATTCTAGGTTGTCTTGAGAGCACAGCCCTCTTTAGGGTACGTCAGATTTTTTCAGTCATTCTTTGGTTCGTATGTGTGATTTGGATCATTGTCTTGTTGCATCAACCATCCACTCTAAAGCTAAAGTCATTAGCTTCTGTCCCAACAAAATGTCTTGATGGGCTTTAGAATTTATTGTTCAATTAAATAATTCAAAGTGTCCAGACACTGAGGCAGCAAAGCAGCATCAAACCATCCACCATGCTTTACATTTGAGATGAGGTTTTAGAGTTGGTGTGCAGATCTCTTTTTTCTTCAAGCAAAACATTGTGCATTTTTGTCTCAACTGTTCAACTTTTGTCTCCACTGTTCACAGAACATTTGCCAAAAGCATTATTTAACCTGATGGTTTTAGGCAAACATGAGACATTTTTTTCTGGTTTCCCTATCTGTTGTCCTTTAATGAACACCATTATTGTTCAGTGCTTCTGAAATAGCGTACACATGAACAAAGACTCCTGCAGTTTGTAGAGTTATCAGGGGTCTTTTTGATGATATCCTTGAGTTCATTCACACCTCTTGTTGTGTTCTGAGAGTGATCTTTGTCGGATGCCAACTCCTAGCGTCCCTAGCTTTCACACGTAGGTATGTGCATGGTTGACTGGAATACAATCTTTAGTATAGACAGGGGGAGTTCAATATAAGTGGTGGAACTACTGTATAATCTCTTACACGAAGTCCTGAAATCCTTTCACTCTTCACTGTATCCTTTCCAGTCATGGTGGTCAGTTTTAACTTGACAGGAAATTTATCTGCCTGCTTCTTGGTCGATAAAGGTTTTATCACTGTGAATCGAGCAAGACATAAACTAATTTTTCCGTACTTACATTGTTGCTTGATGATAACCATACGCCAACCATAAATGTATAAGATGATGTCCAAGACATACGGACGCAGGTCAGATGAAATGACCACAAAGTCGATCATAGACCTACGACCTAGGGTGTCCTGGTGCCACGTGCACTGGTGGACACCCTTATGCTTAAACATGGTGTTCGTTATGGACAAACTGTAACTAGCACAGAAGTCCAACAACTGAACACCACTCGGGTTCAGGTCGGGGGGCCCGTTCCTCCCAATCACGCCCCTCCAGGTGTCACTGTCGTTGCCCACGTGAGCGTTGAAGTCCCCCAGTAGAACAACTACAGTACAGTAGAGTCCCCAGTCGGGGCACTTTCCAGCACTCCTCCCAGAGACCCCAAGAAGGCCGGGTACTCTGCACTGCCGTTTGGCCTGTAGGTACACACGACAGTAAGAGACCTATCCCCGACCCATAGGCACAGGGAAACGACCCTCTCGTTCACCAGGGTAAACTCCAACACATGGCGGCTGAGCTGGGGGGCTATAAGCAAACCCACACCAGCCCGCCGCCTCTCACCATGGGCAACTCCAGAGTGGTGAAGAGTCCATCCTCTCTCAAGGAGTGTGGTTCCAGAGCCCAAGCCATGCGTAGAGGTGATCCCGACTATCTCTAGTCAGAACCTCTCAACCTCACGCACCTCGGGCTCCTTCCCCGCCAGTGAGGTGACGTTCCACGTCCCTGAGGCTAGATTCCGTGTCCAGGGATCGGGTCGCCGAGGCCCCTGCCTTCGACTGCCGCCCGATCCTCTCTGCAACGGCCCCTTACGGCTCCTCCTGCAGGTGGTGAGCCCACGGGAAGACGGTCTCACGATGCTTCTTCGGGCTGAGCCCCGACCGGACCCCGTGGGGAGAGGCCCGGCCACCAGGCGCTCGCATACAAGCTCCAACCCCGGGCCTGGCTCCAGGGTGGGGCCCCGGCTGCGCCATACCGGGGTGACGTCACGGTCCTTGAATATAATTCTGCCATAAGGGGTTTTTGAACCGCTATTAGTCTGACCCGTCGCCTAGGACCTGTTTGCCTTGGGAGACCCTACCAGGGGCATATAGCCCCAGACAACATAGCCCCTAGGGTCATTCGGGTACTCAAACCCCTCCACCACGTTAAGGTGGCAGTTCAAGGAGGGGCTTATAATAATTTATCATTTGCAAAAAGTAAAATGCATCTGTGTAGATGAGAGAACGTTGTTCACACTGGCCAAGCATGCGCGCTTAAAATAGCATGTGAAAGTACGCGCAACGTGCCACTGACTTTAGGCTAATTTTTTTTCTGGTCAGTGGCGCAATTGTTTTCTGGAACTGCAAAATAGCACTAGGGAATGTTTGCACCGAAACACGCCTCTGTTTTTGCGCCGACCCGCCCAGGGAGCGCAAGTTCATCCATAGTTTACCGCCGTGCGTCTGTGGAAGGAAAAGCCTGCTTTGCGCTGGTGCAAAATAGTGATAAATGCGTTTGAGTATAAAGTCATTTGCGCCGGGTGCAAGATAGGGCCCATAGTGTCTTCCATCTTTTTTGGAAGCTAAGCTAGCAGGCTCTTGTTCTGTGGAGAAAGCTGAGTAGGGGTTACCATCATCTTTTGCCTGGACATGTCCGGCCGTCGATGTCCGGGATTCAGCTTTTGCTTTCGGCAGTCGTCATTCATTGTTTACATGTACACGTTTTGTTTCAACTGAATTAATTCCGATTGGTGAATCTGAATGTAGTGTTTACATGAATGCTAAACAAGTGATCGGTTGATGTGCGTTCTAAAGGCCTCATTATGCTTCTGCGTCAACTCCACGGCGTACAGTAGCTACGTCGTCACTACTACGGCGTCGTGGCCGTTTAATGCTTCTTCGTCAGGTTGTGGTGCTTCGCGGTGCATTTCGCCGCCAGAACGCTAGGGGGGTTCGCAAATCTCTTTGGTTCCGCGAGCGAAAGAGAGAGAATGTTGTTGCAGCTGCCAGCTGGAGCTAATTGACATTAAATAACAAGACGACACAAACTTTATCCCCACAGAATCAACACGGATGTCCAGGGCCCGTTCCACCCATAGAAAGTAAAAGAAAGGTTCCACCCGAGCTGCCATAACGATACCTGTTCGGAATGACTTGAAGGATTTTTTCAGTCTCCACATGGAACTGTGCTATGGCAGGATAATGTGTCCCGTGGCAGACTTGGTTAGTACTGTATTATCAATGATGTAACCGTGAACATTGTATTGAAAATAAACAACAAACTGTGTTTCAAAACAAACGTTGATTTATTGATTAATTGAAGTTTATGGCGAGCAAAAAAGAAAGAAAAGAATATAGACATATATATTAACAATGAAATAAAAAACAGTTTATTTTTAGTTTAATTATTTATTTACTTTCTTTATAAGAGTATTATAATTATCAGAACGAGGGTGCAAATGTTAAAAATAGCACTATAGCGGGAGGGGGAAATCGGAAAAGCTACACTCCTGAAATTATGTATAATCTGACCAATCAAAGCCCTTGCTGCCTGCGTCGCCTCGACGCGTAGTTACAAATTTTTGGAGGTGCACGTCGAGCTACGGCGGAGGGGTCGGAGAGGTGTTCGCGTCGACGGATAGGGGTCTGCGGGGGTACGCCGTCGATTCGACGCACAAGCATAAAACAGGCTTAACACTGCTAAGAAAATTCCCGCTCCTCTGTGTGAGATACGAGAGCGGTGCATCTCACAGGTGTCGCTCATCGGTAATCACGCCACCGGCCTCGCGTCGTTCTCCCGCGCTGTCAATCGTCCTGCTCGCCACAGTAAACATGATGAATGGTGACTGTAGAAGGCAAATGCCGGACATTTTGGGCGATCTCGAAACACATTTTCGGGCAGACTCATCACAGAGACTCACTAGTAACCTAGACTTGTTGTTTAACTACTGTGCTCTGTAACCAGTGGGTGTGGCCTCCTAGGGCAGCAAGTGCATTCTGTGAGTTGTTGTCTTTTATCCACATAAGCCAAAAATACATTTTCTGGCTTTTCTCAGTCTAGAAAGCTCCAAATTCAAAATTCACATTTCTTCTACATAATTGACCCATTTTAAATACACATTCATCTTTCTAGAGGTGAAGTATCCCTTTAAGGTCTCTCGAGCACTGAAAATCTTCTCCAATATTAACACAGGTGCTACCTCTTGCCTGATTATAACTAGGTGTGGTTAATCTGTCTGATTTCCCGATTCGATTCGATTACGATTATTGAAGTCCCGATTCGATTACAGTCGATTTTCGATTATAAACGATTCTCGATTACCGATTATTGATTTTCCATTTCACAACAGTAAACGAAAATACACTAGACCAACATATGATTATATTAGCAGCAGCAACATTTTGGTATTAATTGCACTTTTTATTTGTTTGATATTCATTGAAAATATAATGATGGTTAGTGAGGACATGCAAACATGCTTGTTGTCTACTACTTAGGCAACTTATTCTCTTTAAATTTATTAACTTTACATTTTTTTTCAAAAGCAATTTTGTTGCATTATAATGCAAATGCACCTGGTTCTATTAATTGACAGCATTAAAATGTATTTTGTGATTTCCTTCAATTGAAAATATTTGAAGCAAGTTTGGGGGACTTGAAGGGCACCCGATTCAGAGAATCACCTAGAAATTCAAAAGAACAGCATTTATCTGAAATAGAAAGCTTTTGTAACATTAAACAATACCGTTCAAATGTTTGGAGTCGGTAAGAATTTTTATTTAATTTTTTGGGCAAAAGAAAAAAGAAATCTATACTTTTATTCATCAAGGATAAATTAAGTTGATCAAAAGTTAAAGTACAAGACATTTATAATGTTACAAATCGATTATCTGAATCTTTTGTGTGTGACTGTAAATAATTTGCTTTAAAAGTACAAAGTAATGACCCATAAAGAATTAATGCACAATATATTTTATTAACATTACAAAGAACGACCAGGAAAATAAATGTGTGCTTGAACTAGGAGCATACTTGTAGTAAATAAATAATATAACGACTGGTGCAGCCGAGTGTTTTTCCTCCTCTGGCTGGAAAGGTGTCATATGGCTTATCATATTTGTCGCGTTTCCGTCGTTGGTTTTATTCCACAAAGCGTACAACTAGTGCGGCTCTTGTCCAGCTCCTTTCCCCCTTCAACTTCAGAAGCCAAAATATTTCCACACATGAGCTTTTAACCTAACAAGGAAGGTGTTTGAATCTCGCGTGCCATCTCATCTCTGTTATGTGCACGCCACAGACGGTCCGGCCACTGCACTTCCGCGCTTCAGAGTTCCGTCTTTCGCGTTCCGTCAATATTACGTTATTATAAATACATATACATTTTTTTTTTTAAATCGATTTTTTGACATTTGTGAATCGATTCAGGATCGTCCACGTCCGCATCGCGATGCATCGAGAATCGATTTTTCCCCCCACCCCTAATTATAACCCTTGCCTGTAACCTGCCTGAAAAAAAAATGCTTACTGCACCCTTAATTGTCTTTTCTAAATATGAGCACATTTTGATTTTGATGGCTCCAACACATTCCAAAAAAAGTTGGGACAAAGGCATGTTTACCACTGTGTCACATCACCGTTCCCAATTTAAGAATTGAGAGTACTAATTATTGTAGTTTTGGAAGTGGATTTTTTGACCTATCTTGCCTGAATTGCCTTGCCTGAATTGACTTGTATCAGGCAAGATTAAGCAAAAAATCGACTTGCTCAAAAGTCTGTAATCATCGTTGTCTGATTCTCCTCATGATGTGCCATACATTTTCAATAAGAGACATATCAGGACTACAGGCAGGTTAGTCAGGCACATCCACTCTACGGTGTAGAGTATCTAATTTAAACCACTCTGTTGTAGCACATTCTAAATCAGGCCTGTCATTGTCTTGCTTCCAAGGAAAGATGCCATCTTGATACCATTAAACGTCATTGTACAATCCGAAGATACGCATCTACGTCAGTAGTACCTTTACAAAAGCATATACAAGTCACCCATGCCATTTACACTGATGAACCCCCATACCATGACAGATGTTTGGCAACTTTTGGTGATAAAAGCCTGGATGGTCACTTTTGATACCTTAATGTGCATTTTTCTCCAAAACAACCTGAAACATGGACTCATCTGACCATAGCAGCATCTGAGATGAGCTCGGGCCCATAGTGCATAAAATTGATGTATAGCTTTCTCCTTCCGTAAAAAGAGATATCTTTTTTACAAGTGGTATTCAAGTGCTATTTCATGATACAGCAGCAGACTGTATTAAGTGACAACGGTTTTCCAAAGAACACCTGAGGCCATGTGACTATATTTAACAGAGTAGGATGATGGTTTCTCATGCAGTGCCATCTGAGGGCTCAAAGTTCACGCACATTCGACAGAGGTTTCCTGTATTTCCCTTCATGGACTTTCCTAAAATTTTTCACAATATTATATATGGTAGAAGATGAAAGACAGATTATTTGCAATCTTAAATGGGAAGAAAACCGGAAGTGTTGGCTTTAATCATAGGAGAGTCTCGAATGCGATGGCGTATTGTTGTGTTTAATGTAGAAATTTGTTTTTCTAAAAATGTACATACATTTCTTTCATACTTTAGACTATATACAGTGAAATTTATGAATTTATAAATAATTTATGTATACACACACACACACACATATATATATATATATATATTCAGAACGTAAAAAAAGAAGCAGGAACAAACTATATACATATCGAGATATCGGGATATTTGGATATTAACATTCAATTGTGTAAATCACAGCAGCAGCTTTAGGTTAGTCCAAGACATTGTTGTCTATCTGTACTTCTGGGATTCTTCCCACAGGAGCCTCGCTTTCGATTTCAAAGTGGCGGCTGCGTGAAATCAACGTATAGCCTCCTAAGATCTGGTTTCCACATACGTGGACATCACATTTTTTAAGCATGATAAGCTTATTCAGATGCAGATAGTCACTTGTTTAATTCCTGAATTAACTAATCGATTGAGTAAATAATTCAATGAGCCACTCATAAAGCCAGAAAATTGAACAGGCACTGAAAATTAATTGGTGAATGGTACAAGTGGTACCATTCACAAATTAATTTTCAGTGGTGTATGAATGAATAGATTGAATTATTCAATTATGCCTCACATTTATAAAGACAGCCAACTGGCAGAACAAACCTGCAAAAATAGTTACTAAAAATACCCACCTCCCACCACTATGTACAGACTGGCAGTCTGTCAGGCCAGATGTCCTTAATTAATTATTATTTATTTGTTCACACAGACTGTATCTGTGTGCTCCTGTAAGTTTTTACATGGACAAAATTGTTTGAGAGTCACACATTAATAAATATAATTTTCAGACTCGAACCTCCAAAACCTCACTGTGAACAAGCTGAGAGTTAGTGAGGTGCCAGAGAAAACAAAAAATGAAGAAGGCTAAAAGACAGAGATAATAGAAATGTTTAAGAACCATCACTCAATCCTAGCAGAGGTATTTTCTCAGAAGGAAGGCTCAACCTGCATGTGGCCCTACATTGACACACAGTTCCCTCCCAACACACATGCTCCGAGTGAGAGATCCAGGTATAATTGGAAGCAGCGTCTCACTGCTTCCTCACAAAGAACAGTTGAAACATGCACTTCTGTATTGTCTATTTCAGTTTTTTTTTAACTTACACTGATCCAAATCAATTAATAGCAGCGTTGCCTCCTTTATCTGTTGAAATGCACAAACGAACACACATATGCTGTAATTTTGTTTTGTTCTGCCACAGTACTCCGCTTACTCAACTACAGCCTTTCAAACAAAAGCTAATTTAAATACCCATTTTAAAGATTCAAGATGCAATAGACAAGCCAAACAATGTTTATACTGTAGTGTAAGATTTTATGTCAAAGCTAATTTTCCAGGGTGAAAATATAGTTAGTTCCGGTATTATAATTTGATTGGATAAGCTACACTGTAAAAAATTTTCCTGTAAATTTTACAGTAAAATACTGGCAGCAGGGTTGCCAGCCAGTTACTGTATTTTTTACAGTATAGTTCTGTAATTTAATTTACAGATTTTTACTGTATTCTCTGATTACACTAAATAACTGTATTTTTTACAGTAGTTCCATGAATCTTTGTATTCGCTATATCTGGGAAATATGTAAAATGCCAGCTGAATTTTAAATGTGAATTATTTATCAACTGCATAAGCTTTAAACAATTGTTTTTAAATTAATTAAGTGTTGTATAACACGCAACTTAATTCCCCTATTACTTCACAAAACAAACAAACTATTCAACATCCTATAAAAACAGGTCAACATTTATTTAATTTATAACTTTAAAATATGCATGAAAAAAAAGCATAAAACAGTGTATTTTGTATTTTTTTGTATTTTATTTTTATTTACAAATGGACATGAAATGATTTTTTTTAATTACTTAAAACAAATAAGCCATCAGGGCCCTTCACACAAAGAAGAAATACGCAAATGACATTTAAAACGACAAGTTGACCAACATGATCATAATAAAATGGTTCTGAAAAAAATAAAAAATAAAAACAGACATGAATGAATTGTCACCTCTTCGTTCCCAGACAAACATGTCCAAACAACAAGGCCCCAAGTGAGTCCAAAAAACGTATGATCAAAAATGGAGAATAATTCAGCTCCGGATGCTGTTCCATCACAGGATGCAAAGAGTGGCTAGAAATATTGAAAAGGACATTACATTAGATATATTACAAAACATAATGGTACAGTCAGAGACAGACAGAGGGATGACAGATACAGTTAGAGTCAGATAAAGAATATTAAAAGGTTACAATTAAAGGAAAAATATATTTGTGTGTGTACTTACGTTTCAGAAATTCCACTGAACACACCACTTTGCAGGGAAGAGTGGCAACATGTGGGTTCACTGCAACCTGTTTCTTCTGTACCATTTGCCCTGTCCTTTTAGATGGCAATTTTCTTCTTTGTTCCTCTCTTACAAAGCACATAAAGGGTCAGGAAACAGACAATATGTAGGATTGGTTTTAAGTTTTTCATGCTTGTAATCATGATTTTGAAATCTGTTAGAGCAGTGTTTCTCAACTCCAGTCATGAGGACCTCCCAGGAAGACCTCCCAACCCTAACCCTATGTCCACAAATTAAAACACCTGATTTAACTAATTAAAGGATAGTTCACTTTGAAATTAATTTTTGATATGTTTTAGCTTACCTCAAGGGCATCCAAGATGTAGGTGTCTTTGTTTACACAGTATTTTCAATTTTTATATTTTTAAGTCGAACCATTCTTGTCTTCAGTCATATAATGCAGGTCTATGGTCACCACCTCAAAGAGCATGCACAGAGAAGTCAAAATTAAACATGATTTAACGACTCGTAAATGTAAGTACACATTGATGGCCTAAGACACGAAACGAGCGGTTTGTGTGAGAAAACGAATGACGTACGAGACGAGTGACGTATACGCGCGAGAGATCACTTCCGTTTGTCTTAGGCCATAATGTGTACTTACATTTACGAGTCATTAAATCATGTTTAAATTGGACTTCTCTGTGCATGCTCTTTGAGGTGGTGACCATAGACCTCCATTATATGACTGAAGACAAGAATGGTTCGACCTAAAAATGTCAAAATTGAAAATACTGTGGAAACAAAGACACCTAGATCTTGGATGCCCTTGAGGTGAACTAAAACATATCAAAAATTAATTTCAAAGTGAACTATCCCTTTAAGTCAATAGATAATATATCAAAAGGCAGATATTGAGTACATGTGTAAAATGTACTGAGGTTTTTAAGAATGCAACAATTACCTTTAAATGAACTCCAAGGTGCAGGCTGGCTTCTCCTGATTGAATATGTAATAATATGCAGTGAACAGTAGCAAGGCCAGACAGGAAGCTGGACTGAATGCTCTCCTCACACACAACTTGGCCTTCCAGTGTCCTCTTGTCAAGAAAGTGTCTCCTAAAACAATACCACATGTGACAATAGTTTATTTTTTACTATACCATTTTTATGTTTCAGCATTTTAAATGTAAAATATATTTTAGTGTTCAGAGTGCAGGAACTATTTCTTTTAAATAAAATTAACAAAGGAAGTATGAAAACAAAAAAGCAAATTACACACAGAGAGTAACTTAGGCTAACGTTATAGCTAAAATATATAGGATATATAGCTTATATTCGTACTGAAATGTAAGGGATTTTCACACCGGAATATTAAACATAACGTTACGACACAGCAACATTCATAATCTGTTTTTTTTTTTTTCATTTCGGCGCCCATTTTAACAGATTACTTGATTTTGATTTGATATACACCATAAAATAATCACGGCGAAGTGTGCTGATCAACACGAAGCTCGTGTGAATACCGACTGTTGTCAGAAAAGCATGTAATTCTTCTCAACAAAGGAGCCCATAGATCCCGGGGAATGTGTGAAATACTACCCGCGTCTGGGCTGCTGAAGCCCCGCGCAAGTCTCCCTCGCGCCCCGTACGGAGGATGCGTGATCCTCGGTAACCAATATGAACCGCGAATATAACATTACCTTCATAGTCTACGAGTAACACAACATGAAACATAAGAAACTGAAATAAGTCACTTACCAGTTGAGAATCACTCCTCTTGCCGCTATCCGAAAGTCGACGACACGACCGTTGAAGATCACAATGCCTCTGTGTCGATTTGAAATTTACAGCAATATTCTGTATTTTGAATCAAACCGCCACGCGGCCCCAGAATGCATTGCAGTTTACAGCAAAATGCTGTATTATTAGAAAACAGCCAGCGGCTGTAAAATATGGCTGTAATTTTTACAGCAATTCATTACAGTGTACAGTTCCAACACATTCTCACCCCAAGGCGTCACCTTTGACCATGCTTCAATATTTGACGTTTTAGGCGCCCTTTAGCCTCAGTTACATGACGCGATCCTACGGCGTGATAACTGACGCTAAAGGAAAAGCGTCAGTTAGATGACGCGGGTAGGTTTAGGTCTGGGGTAGGGGTAGGGGTAGGGTTACACGCGATCCTAGGGCGTCATCTAACTGACGCTAAAGGGCGCCTAAAGCGTCAGATATTGAAGCATGGTCAAAATGCTTCCCAAGTTAGGTGACGCCTTGGGGGTGAGAATGGGCTGACCGTTCAGAAGTGTCAATAGTTCATATAACAGCACTGGGAAGTTTCATACTTTATATCAGCATTCCAGACTATAGTTTGTGAGCGGTATAGAAGCCGAGTGAAATGGTGTGATTTTAACATGCTGTCCCTCAGTGTGTTGCTTGGCAACACATAAAGCATGATACTTTGGCTTCTTTTAAATCTTCTTTTTTTTCTTGGCACAGTGTGATATTTCTTAATTACATTTTGGTGATTTGCCAACATAGAGATTAATCTAGAATATTACTAAAAACAATTTTCCAAAAGGGTGGCTGGTGTGGGGCAAATTGAGCTAGATGAGTTGGTGACATTATCATAGGGAACTTTGTGAGAAGATACAGGAAATATATTATCTTGATTTAGAAAATTCACACCTCAGTTTTCTAGGGAAATTATGAGATTTGTCACACAATGTCATTTGTTGCAACAGCAAAGTAGGGCTTCACATTTTCAAAGATTAAAGGCACAACATGTACATTTTTTAGATTAAAATGTTCAAAAACCACTAGCACAATGTTATATATTTGGTTGCCTTGTATCCCAAATGTTTCCATAAATTTAAATACCCAAAAGAAAATAATTGTTATAGAGTTCAGATATTTTCAGAGTACCAATGTCAATAACAAATTTAGTGAAAACATATTTTAGAGATTTACAATTTAGTTTCTCAACTCCAGAATTCAGCACTACATGGCCAACATGACATCATGACTTTTGCGTAAACATACATGCCACTTTCGAGCCAAGTGGCGTGTTATCTCTACGCATTTTGAGCTATCCGCGTGTATCCGTGTGTATGCGTATATGTCTACGCCATTAACGTCCGCGTCATTCCGCGTGTCTGTACACGCCGTCAAATCTCCAGTCATAAATGCCATTAACCCCAGTGACGGTTAAGTTTAGGGATGGGGTTGAGGTAAGTCA